ATGAGAACAAGTGGATAGTAATTTAAATTATGATTTTGGAGACTTAAACATTATGGATAACATTTAACTTTTAGATTCTGTTGACTAATTTTATCAAGCCATTTATTATTAAACTGAATGTGAAAGAAAATTCAATTAATTTTCAAATACGATTAGATACCGGATCATTTATTACAGCTATATCGCATGAATAATTTATTAGATCTAAATTTAATACTAAGGATTTAATTAGTAGTGATATTAGTTTAAAGGGTTATACTGGTACGTTAATCGGACCACTAGGGTTTTAGAGAGTGAAAGTGTTATTCAAATGTTATTGAAGGGTTGAAATTATATATAATTAAAGGAGGTGGTCCGCCTATTGTTGGAAGGGATTGGATTGATAGGTTGTCAATACCCTTATCAGATAAAGTTTATTCACTTACATCGAATAATCATGATAGTAATTTTGAAGAATTTTTTTCAGTATTTAGTACAATTTTAAGTTGTTATAAACCAAAAACTTTTAAATTATATTTAAAGGATAATGTCAAGCCAGTATTTTGTAAACCAAGGGTTTTACCTTTAACCTTAAAAGATAAAGTGAGTAATAAAATCTACAGGCTGATTGATGAGAAATTATTAATTCCGGTTGAGACTTCAGATTGCAGGGCTACTCCGGTAGTTCCAGTAGTAAAAGGTGATGGCACTATTCGTTTATGCGGATACTACAGGGTTAGGTCGCCAAACGTGTCCGGCCCAGGGGCGCCATTTGGTGGGGAGCAGGGTGTGCACTTGCACACCCTGAATTTATTATTTACTATTGGCCTAGGCGTCATTGATACCGGCCTTGCCACCTTGGCCTTCAGTTTTCCTATCTTTAACTTTATGGTTTAGGTCATAAATTGCTTTTAATGATTGATTTGTATTTTCTATTTTTATTTATATTCTAATTTCAAATATAGGTACCTAACTATTAATTGAATTTATGCGTTAAAAAATTTTAAAATAGTAAAATAGTTTAATGGTAAGATATCTAGTACCTAAAATATTAATATTACATTTATTAATTTGTAATATTTTATGTATGAAAACCAAATGTTTTTTTGATAGTAAAAATTGTATAGAAAAAATACGATGAGAAACGTTTTTTCGACAATGGCCTGGTGGTGGGAAAAAATTGGCCTCTTTAATTGCATGTACACCCTTAAAAAAACCGAAGTGGCGCCCCTGGTCCGGCCCATTCTATTCGTGTGCTTTCCAGTGTCCCAATAATGCTATAGGTTCGTTGTCTAGGTCTTCTAAATTTTTATTGATACGTACTTCATAATCTCCTTCATTGTTTCTGACTGGACCGAATATCTTCCGCAATATCTTAAATCTTTCTCTCAAATACTTCTAACTTTTTTTCATCAGCTTTTGTTGTCAACCAAGTACTGCTTGCATATAGAGCTACTGGTTTAACTAGGACTTTATATAAGGTTATTTTAGATTTTCTTAATAATAATTTTGACTKGAATAATGGTGGCAGTCCATAGTAGCACCGGTTTGCTGCGATAAGTCGTCTTCTAATTTTCTCGTGGCTATTTGCATCTACATTAATATCTGCACCTAAGTATTTAAAATTTCTTACCCTTTCAAAAACATGGCCATTTGGCATTTATCTTTAAGAAGTTTGTCCTGTGATTTTGTCTAGACACTATCATGTATTTTGTCTTTGTCTCATTAATTTTCAAGCTAATCCTTGTCTCCTCCTTCATCAGAATATCTGCTGTGTTTTTTAGATTATTRTCTGTTTTGGATAATAAGATTATATCATCTGCATAAGCAACTGCTGTTAGGTGTTGATTGTTGTGATATCTGTAACGTTGTTATCGATATTATATTGGCTATCGATAATGGTGTACCGCGATCGATCCAGGTTAGGTTAGGTTAGGACTATTAGTATATTATTGTTCAATCAGTGTTTGCAGTGCCGCGTTAAGCTATGTTGCCGCCCCGGGGCAAATTAAAATATGCTACCCTTAATTTTTTATTTTATGTTGATTCTTAAAAATTTTCCGCCCTATCAAACACCATAAAATTTGCCGCCCCTGGGCAGTTGTCCCTCCTTGCCCCCCGTTAAATGCGGCTCTGAGTGTTTGTCGTGAAGTTGCGCTGCGAACTACTATTCAGAAGGTTTAATGAATAAACGTATTACCTATCAACAGTCAAGTTGATGTCATTTTCACGGATTTCGAAAAAGCCTTTGACCGTGTTAACCATGAATTACTACTTATTGCACTTAACCATGTGGGTTTTGGGGATCCTTTACTATCTTGGTTTAAGTCATATCTAACCAATAGATTTCAATTCACTAGAGTCCAAGGTTTTAACTCTGCTATAACACCGGTTCCATCTGGTACCCCACAGGGAGGACATTTATCCCCCCTCTTATTTCTTATATTCATTAATGATATTTCCTCAGTCCTCAACAACTGTCAATTTTTGTTATTCGCTGATGATTTAAAAATCTATACTCGCGTTTCTTCTATTGATGACTGTATTATTTTACAAAACGAATTAAATGTTTTATTTGACTGGTGCCAAAAATGGGGAATGAGTCTAAATATTTTAAAATGTTACTCAATGTGTTTTTATAGGTCTCGTTCGCCCTTACAATTTGTATATTCTATAAATAATACATCACTTGAATCAGTTTCTCATATCAAAGATCTTGGTATAACGTTTTCATTCAACTTAAACTTTCGCCAACATATAGAGAATATTATTAGTAAAGCTTTAAAAATACTAGGATTTGTAAAACGTCATTCTTTTGATTTTAATAATCCTCATTCATTACAGCTATTATATAATGCATTAGTCAGATCAATTTTGGAATATGGCTCGATAATTTGGAGTCCTCACACCAATTCCGACATCAATAGCATTGAGCGTGTCCAAAACTGATTTTTGAAATACATGTCATTCAAACTTAATATACCTATCATTGATCACAATTATAATCCAATTAGATCTACACTAAATGTCCAAACTTTATTATTACGTCATGAACTTTCAGATATAACTTTCGTGTATAATTTAATTAATGGGCTCATTAGTTCCCCTCCACTTCTAAACTCTATCCCCTTTAATGTTCCTTTTTACAGCAACCACTTTGTTCCATTTTTCTACGTTCCGTCTTACAGCACAAATTATCTTACGAACTCACCCATTCCAAGAGCATTGTCACTATGCAATAAGTGCCCGACTAACGATTTCTTTTATTCACCTTTATGGCTTTATCTAAGATATTACTTTCATATTGTACTTTAACCATGCATGATTATTAAGGTTGTTATTATGTTAAACTATTTTGTAATGCTATTCTATTATTATTGTTTGTACTTTATCTAGATATTTATTTATTTTTATTTGTTTCCTCTTTATTGTTATTTCATTATCATTTATATAAAACTATTATTTCTAGTCGTAGTGTAATTCCAACTATACTATGTATCACTGGGCCCAGGCCCGTTTTGTTCAATTATTTAATTATTTGAATAAACATTATTATTATTATTATTATATACATATATATCGACTTGTTTGTCTAATATTTATATGCAAATAGGTACAACAATTGTCTTTTATTTCTATGCCTTTGGCTTGGGACATAACTATGCTCATAACAGATTCTAGGGTGATATTGAACAGCGCAGGTGATAAAGCATCCCCTTGTCTTAGGTTAGTCGTTACMGGAAACTCTTCCGATAAATCTTCTCCAAAACTGATTTTACATTTTGAATTATGTGAACACGCTTTGATTAGTCTGGTTACTAGGTTAGTTACTAAGTTTACTAAAGAACTAAAGAAGAATAGTCTGTGTTCCATAGTAATAAAATGATTACTGTGATATCTAAATTTTACTATTGTTAATTGTCATATACTTCAATGCAAGGTAGATTAATCCACCTATATAATTTTTGGTAATCAGAAAAAAATCCTCAGACTACAATATTACTCACAACCTCATTCACAAATATTTTTTAACGTTAATTGGTATCTATAATTACCACATTATTAATATTTAATTACAAATACGTATATTATATTATATTATACTATATTATTATATTATAACATTCAATAGATTAATATAGTTGTTAGAAAAACAAAGTTTTTATTAAAAAATTATATTTTTAAATATTTTTTATCCTTTTAATTTTAACTAAAAATATCTACGAAAAATACCCGAGTACCTAGTAGTCCCATAGAGTATTTTAGAGTAAAGATGTATAGACATTTTTTTAGATTTTTAGATTTTTTTCAACTACTTATGAGAAACCTTGTTTTAAATTTGCAATACTTAGCTATAGAAATTGAAAATTTTTTGCATTTTTAGAAAATGTTCGTAATTGTTGGTATTAGTTATTTTTGTTTCCCGTTATAATTACATTTAAAAATGTCAACAGTTTTTTATCTAATATATAAAGTCATAATCATAACGTTTGATTTATAAATAGCTCTAAAATATTTAAAATATTTTGAAAATGTTATCATACATTCCTACTTAGAAAACATCATATAAACATTTGTTGAAAATTTCAAAAAACTACAAACAATTATATCATCATATGTTTTTACTGTGAATAGGTGCCTACGTTTAATGATTATTGTTTGATAATTATTATATTATTATTATCTATATTTTGTATTATTGACGCATTAATTATTCGAAATATTTTTATATGCTATATGTTTTTACTGTGAGTAGGTGTTAATTAACGTTTAAAAATATATGTTCAACCATTTTCATGAGGTTGTGAGTAATATTGCGGTCTGGGGATTTTTTTTCCTAGGGTCGGGCATTTTTTTTCCGGGTATTTTTTTTCTGCAATTCATAATTTTTATGCTTAGATTTTTTTCCTAATTCTTCAGCGCCGTGAATCGTGACGAATACAATTTATAATATTATGATAACGATTAATGCTGCGTAACCGTTATCAGTTCGATAAACAATTTAAAAAATAAAAAACACATGTTATTTGAACAATTGAAATCTGGAATGGTTTAAAAAATCCTTCAGTCGTAAATGTTCATTAAATTAATGAGAGCTTAAAATTGTCAATAATTTATTTACTCTTTAGTTGGACTTGTTGGCTCGTGACATTTAATTCGTTATCGTTATCTACTTGCTGATCACAACCACGGATCAGAAAACACCGTCGAAGTCGAAGAAATCTCAAAATTAATTCTCATATTGGAAATTTTGAATATTGGTTACGGAATAAAATATAAACAATACGTCATATAAATTGAGTAAATATATATTGACTATTTTAATTTTTTTACCAATATTAAAATGTRTTCATAGCTTATGAACAAGATTAAAAAAAAAAAAAATTGTTTTCAAATGAAATTCCATGTTATAAAAGTCCACACATCCTTATTTTTTTTAATTGATAAACGATGGGAAATAATAAATTATCTATTTGAATTTTTTTATTTGATTATATTTACTTGTTTACGTACAAAGGTAACTATTTAAAAAAAAGAGGTATAATACTAATTAAATGGTAATTAAAAAWAATATAATACTTGTGTTACCTATCATTATAAAATATATAAATACCTATTAAATATTTCACTAGATGTTTATTCTTAGACTTTAATTTAATTTTTTTTTTTTAATGGTATTTTTGCCTGTAAGGTAGAATATTGTTTAGTTTTCATGAAAAATTCTGATTTAGACTTATGATCAAGATATTAGGCTAAGCACAATGGATCATTTACAACAAGGTTGGTTTACTGAGTCTGAAACATGGCCAGGTGCTGGACTTTCATTACAAGTAGACAAGGTGCTTCATAAAGAAAAATCCCAGTATCAAGATATTATGATATTGCAAACGTAAGTATCTGTATGGTTATCTAGTAGTTTACATAGTATACAAAATTGATAATTGTAACTATATTAATTTTTTTCACAGCAAATCGTTTGGAAAAGCTTTGATATTGGATAATATAATCCAATGTACAGAGTTTGATGAGTTTTCATACCAAGAAATGATAAGTTTTTTACCACTTTGTAGCCATCCTAATCCAGAAAGAGTTCTGGTAGTGGGTGGTGGTGATGGTGGTGTTGCACGTGAAGCTGTTAAGCATCCTAAAGTTCTTAGTGTTGATGTTGTTGAAATTGATGAACGAGTAGTGAAACTTTCAGAACAATATTTACCATTTATGGCTTGTGGATTTAAACACGACAAGGTTACACTGCATATTGAAGATGGGTTTGAGTTTATGCAAAACAATGTCCAACGATTTGACATCATTATTACAGACTCTTCAGACCCTGTTGGTAAGTACTACTAATTTTTATTGGGTAAAAATGTTATTTTAATTAGTCAAAATATAACAATACAATTCAAATAAATATTTTTTAAGGCCCAAATGAGTCATTATTTCAGAAAACTTATATTGAATCATTGAAAAGATCTTTAAAACCTGGTGGTATTATATGTTCCCAAGTTGGATCAATTTGGATTAAAGAAGATCAGGATACAATGACCAGATTGTCTAAAGACTGTTCAGCTAACTTTAAAAAGGTCACTCTAGCCACCATATCTATTCCATCTTATCCGACTGGAAACATCAGTTTCATTTTAGCTACAGACAATGAGGTTAGAAAAGATTACCCATACAGTTCAGTATATTATTATTTAATTATTATTTATTTCTCATGTTATTTCAGTTAGTAAATTTCAAAGTACCAGCATATAGTTTTACACTTGAAGAACTAAATAAACACAAACTCAAGCATTACTCACCAGATGTACATTCTTCTTCATTTAGTATTCCTAGATTTGCTCGTATGATTATTCCACATATTAATTGTTAATATTGTTTTATTTTTTCAATATTACCACATTTATAGACTTAATTTTGTGTAATGCTACTTTATTGTTATGCTTGCAATTAAATCACCTATTAAAGTAATTTAATATTTATTGTACAACATTAAAGTATTAAATTATAGGAGCTTTTAGTTTTTTTAATTGCATTGTTATTCTATTTTATATCCTAATCACATGTGATCAATCTAAACTATGTATTATTAAATTAATTGATTCTCATATGTTAGTATTAATAATATTGAATTACTAAATAGATAATAATAAAAAAATTGATACTTTATTTTATGTTTTATGTATTAAGTATATTATATTATAATAGATGATTGGCAATTGATCAATTTAAATGTTTGATTATTTTCTTTGTTTATTCAGTTATGTCTTATGTGCATGTTTGTAATCATCCTGCCACTAAGTTTAATAAAATTTATCACCCAGCCACCAGGGCTGATTAGATATACATGAATCATGATCCTCTGTAACATGATATCTTAAGAGTATGAAAGTGTAGATGATCAGTATATAATCTATTTATTAAAAAGGATAAATACTTCTTGATTCATTATAATATTTAAAATAAAATGTTGACAAATTTTTGAGAACTTTGTGTAGTGTGAAGTATATAAGGTTCAACTCGGTTGTCATTCGACTAACAGATTTTATCCAAGCACATTTTGTTTGTTGTCAATGACGACCAAAAGTGTTAATCAATACTTTCTTTATAAACATGCAACACTATAGGCAAAAAACTTTCCCAACACAAATCCTTCTAAGCCAACATATAATTATTTACAAAAGTCTAATAATTATGGAAATTGTTTATGTTGGCCACCGAAATCCTACAAATCGTGCGCTTTTAATATCAAACAAAGAATGGAAAAGACTTGGTCAAATTTTAACTAAAAAAATAGACGAAGAGGAAGCGGTTAATATGAGCAAGCAACTGAAAGAGATGCGACGTGAAACGTCAAAAAAGATGGTGGACGGTTGGGACAACACTGAACTGGTTAGTGGGTCTAGGTTTTAAGTGTTTTAACGTTCCAACAATCCGCGCAACTGATAGAGTACACATTACCTGTTACAAACTTACAAAGGTATGTAGCTAAATCTAAAATGATCCATTAACGAATGTTTACAGAACAAGACCAAAAATCTTTTGGAACAAAAACAAAAGGCGCTTTCCGAGTTGGAAATGAAACGGCAGCAGAGGGACGAAGAGATGAAGCGCGAAGCACTAGAGGCCAGGAATAAGATCATCAAGAAAGYGTGCCAACTGAAATTTGAAGAGAGAGACGCAACAAAAACGTTCTATAGAGCTCTACAGAATTCTGAAGTTGTTATGATGATAACTATAATATTATTAAAATCAAACGTTGCATAAATTAATTATCCTGTTGTGCTGGTGTCAAATTTGATTTTTCAGGTGTACAAAGAAAGGGCAATACAAGTCAAATTTAATGAAGCTGAGCGAGAGCAGAAGGTGCAAAAAGACCTTGAAACGGCTCAAGAACAAAACAAGGAAGCAGAACGGTACAAAAAACACCAAGCGAACGAAAAACAAAAAAAACATGAGCTAAAAAGATTAAACGCTCAAATGTTTTTAAAAGAGTAATACAATTTTGTGGGATATTAACCAAGATATTCGTCGTAAATTATCAATGTGTAAATCAATTATAGGTTGAAGGAACGTAGGGATAAGAGGGCTGATGAACAGATTGCGTCGCTTGAGTCTGGTAAGGCGGAATTACAGAAAGTAGCTGAAGAAATCGAAGAAGCTCATGARAAGGCCGCTGCTGAGGTGAGAGCTAGGTATATTTGTGCGACACTTCGACGGTTTTTAATGTTCTCATTAATATAATATATGAACAATTTTTTTTTTTATGACGAAGATGTTTTTTTTTACTAGTTGTGTGGAAAACATATTGTTTTGTAGGCTCGATCAGCGAAGGAAAAACTGCAAAAGGATATAGAGGACAACCGCATAATGATAACCAGCAAAAACGATATGCATGAGTCGGAGGAATGGGAAGAGGATATGGTTACTACCATAATGGCAGAGACAAAGAAGATATTAGCCAGAGCGCGGAGACTTAAAGAAATAGAAGTATGTTTTCGGGCTTACTCGAATAACGCATAAACATAATATTAGGTATATAGGTTGGTGAATAGCCATTCAAATTTCGTGAGAGTTAGGGAGTTACAATTTTTTTTAATCGGTATATTACATATACCAGTATAAAACAATATATTATTTATGGCTACATCAGACTATACAACTGATCATATCAACGAAAACATCTTACTCCATTGTTTTTTAAATGAAAGAACGCAGAAGGATCTACTAGTAGGTTGTAGGTACCTATAATGTTAAGCTACCTATATATTATGTGCAAGATTTATATTTACTTCTGTCGCCTTAAATAATATGTAATATATACTGTGGTTGACTTGGGTATAAAGTAGTAGAGGTACTATAGCTAGGTACTTTGAAAGAGGTAGCGTCCCTGGCATTTTAATCAAACTCACATAACTACGAGAGGGGGGACCTCAACACCACCTTTTTATGCTCCCTTAAGAAGCATAATAAAAAATCAAGAAACAGGTATCAATGAATCATATAATATATAAAATAATATCATAATTTATTAGGTAGGTATAATTTAAGGTACTTTTTACTATCTAGCTATATTATACATCTGATGGCTAATTATCAACTTTCACATTTTAGATATCAAATATCAATACAATTATAATTTAAAATTTAATTTGTAGCTAATAGAAGTACATTTTGTAATATTATAACAATCTATCCTATGCCTTCCCTTTAAAAAAGAAGTAGGGGTACTCTTGAGTATCCTAAAAATTAGTTGATATACTCAGTAGGATTGAGTCAGTCCTCCTCCCCCCCCCCCAAGTTAACCACTGACTATATTGGGTGGTATTCCTTTCGTCCAAAGACAACCTTCTTATTTTTGATCAAATATGATAAAATAGTTTCCCCTTTTCAATAATTGCATTATTTTTGCCCAATTTTCATGTTCAACATTTAGAAAAGCACTGTCACACAGCTTTGGGCAGCTAACTCGTCAGAATTAATCAGAATGACTTGAATCAAGAATTGTTTATGCACATTTTAAATTCTCTTATATTACCCTAATTATATAAAACAAAATAAAAATAACAATTAACCAGTCTTAGGTGTAAATATTAGATAGTTTTCATCACATTAAGTTAATATTAATAACATGGTAATATTATATAAAACAAAATAAAAAGCGCTAAACACGACTAGGACCGATAATCTTCAATCAACACCTGTGCCTTGCGTTGTTCAGCGTGACTGCAGTGTACAAGCCACGTGAACATCGTGAACAATAATTACCATCCACTATAATAGTTCAATTTTTATCTGTTTTTACAGTTGATGGAGGTCAAACAATTAGCACTGGAGAAGATGAGAACGAGATCGGCGGTTTGGCCGACGAAGAAAATCGGGTGGGCACAGTTTGACGTACTGGATGCCATAGAAGCGCAGGAAAAACGGTTAGAAAATAACCTAGTAACATACGTTGTTGCAATGTTGCAAGTGTGATAAAATTCGAAAAATAATCCTCTCCGTCCTTGAATTCGTTTTGATTTCCTTTACCACACAGCGGTATTACAATAGATATTCCAGAATATTTTCAATTGTCAATTGTTTTGGTACAAGACTGCTGCATTACCTCCAAAGCTGAACGAATCAATTCTGTATATTTKACAATATCCTGCAGCATATGATAATATATACTATATAATCTGTCATATGTGTTTAAGTCCAATTTAGTTATTTCTCCATAACCAGGTAGAAAATGAAATAAACAGTGTCAAAACCATAAACACTAAATATTATAAATTATAATATAGTATAAATACAAACCTACAATGCATTTACGAGAAAATGTCTTACCTTAAGGTGGATATAGTCGATATAGATTTCAACAGATTTAGTAATATCTCCACAAAAAACATCTATTTTTAATACACGTAAAATACATACGTACTAGGTATGTCTAGAAAACTCGTTGTTTGGTACAGAATATTCATTCCGTGTTATTAACATGGTTTGAAATTGAAATTAATATTTTTGTAAAATACGATGGGTTTTGATATTTTTTCCCCTGATTGTAGCAGTCTATGTAATTAGTTTTTTTGTTTTTGGTACGCATAAAGTCTGATTACTGCAGGTATCTAGAAGGGGAACGCAAAAAGAAAGAGCTGGCTAATAAAAGAATAGAACACGAGGAGATCGGAAATAGACTGTGGGAAGAAGAGATGTGCAGACGACGGAAACGATCGGCACAGGAGCTTCGATCGGAGATGCAAAGACGCGAACGCGAGAAAAAGTTGTTGACTGAGTTTGCGGACTTGCGCAAGCTAATGCGAATTGAAAATGCCAACCGGTTTCGGGAGCAACTCGAAAAACAGTGTGTAAGTATATTATATTAGCAAATGACTTTACTTTTTCTTACTTTCTTCTCAGCTTAATGATTTTTGTAGCAGTTTTAGGACCTTAGTTCCGAGCTGCTACAATGAATCCTATTCTCCACATTTCCTGTATTCTATTTGATGATGGAAAAGCCAAGTGATGTAATTCCCAAAAATGAAATTTTACAATAGAGATTAATAGTTTTGTTGAAATATTATTTAAGAAAGGTAAATTTGATTGATAAATATTTAGACATGTATTTTAATATATAATTATACAGTTGAAAGTAAAAAGTTATATATCAAATTAGTTGCTATGCTTCAGAGTGAAAAATGGAGGCTTAAATTAAATTATTTATTAATTATATTTAGGTGATCTATACTGTGACATGTTGCTGTTGTGAGTTTCTGTATTACTTGTGAAATTAGCTTGGATTTAACAAAGAATTTGGGGATTTCACAGTATTTAGAAAAAAAATAAATAATTATCATCAGTTAAAACCTCAATTTAAATAAAATTGAACATTACATAATTTATTTATTTTTTGGTTACATCATTTGGCCTTTAAACTATCAAATCATTCAATTTTAACAATTTTAACGTTGCATTTCTATATACCTATATTTTATGGATTAAGTTTCATATTAAACTTATAATAATTAATAATATGGTATGTTAATTTGTATGTCTATAATAATAATTGTTTACGAGAGCTTTAAGTATTAAAGTATATTATATTATTTTCTATTAATCTACTCTTTATACATTTTATAATTGTTTATCATAGTATTTATAACTCCTTCAGTCTCTTATGAATTTCAGAATTTTCAAAGGGTTAAAGTTGTGCACCTCCCTTTGGCAAAACAGTCAATTTAAAATAACTACCTTTCCTAATCACAATTTTTTGTTTAAATATTTGTTGTTATTTTTTAATCTACATTCAAAAATTAACCAACTTGGTTTCATCTAAAATATTTATTATTGAAACGTTATAATTTCATTTTTTCTTAGATAAATGGTAGACGTTTACATTTTACACTGGAAGTAGTCTTTAAAATTAAATTGAGCATATTATTTTTTTCCTTAACAAAATTAAAGAATGTGACAAATATACATTAAATTTGTTGTTTTGGAGTAGAATGATAAAAGGATAGCATCGTTGAAAAATAGACAAGCTGATATAGATCGCCACTTAGCATTTGAGCATGAGTGGCAGAGAGAAGATGAAGAATTCATTGCATATACAAAAAATGTGATTGAGAAGAAGATATTAGCAGGCAATTCAGTTGTACCATTATATAAAACAGTAAAAGTCAGTATTATTTTTAGCATTTGAACCACAATAATAAGTATGTTTACGAAAATAAAAATTCAATTTTTAGGATTATCTTGAAAAAAACAATTTATGCATGATTGATGATAAGGTATCAAAAAAAAATCCAAAAGGTCCAACTCATACATCAAGAATAATACGCCATTTTTAGTAATAATTAAAAAAAAATGTATTGAAAAAATATATACAAAATATTAAATAGAAGTCACATTTTTCAAGTCTTTTCTTTTAAAAATATTATTTACTAGTTATTAAGAATATCACAATAAAGAAATATGTATGATAAGTTACACGTAAAAATCCTATGCTAAATATTTAAAAATGATCAATACATACAAAATAAATAGTACCTAACTACAATAAAATTATATGTATGCATATAAATCTACTAATTTTAATGGCAACATATGAGAAACATCATATTAATTAACACTTAATCCATGGCATTTTTTTTGGTAAATTGTAATGTGTTAGATTAAGTTGAGACTGTGTGAGATCAATTTTGGGTTGTACTTGTTTCACAGCTATCAGTCTCATACGATTAATTGCTATTAAACTAATAGCAACGATTCTAGAAAAAATTATTGAATGAATATACCTTAGATAAATACAACAAAAAATATATTTTTGTATTCACTTAAACTTGGACATCTTTCTTTTGGCACATATTCTTTGCATCATAGTTTTGACAATACTATTATCTAAGTCAGGCCATTCTTGAATGATAAATCTGAGCAACTTGTCTTTGCCTCTGGCCAACTTTACTAGGTACATCTTTTGCCAAACCAACGAATGGTAGAGAGCTTCTACTCGTGTAATGCGCTGATTACCATCTACAGGCCAATGGTTTTCAACCTATAGTATATTATATAAATACAGATCATAGTTTATGTTTTTTTAATATAAAATATCTATTACCTTTTTTTCCAATAATTTTCTATTTAAATCTTGAACACAACATTTTAATTCCATAACCTCATTTTGTAATTTGTCCTAAAATATTAAAAATATATCAAAATTATACAACATATTATAAATATCTTACTCTTGTGTTACAAAGTTCCACATTTGCCTGGGCAATATTTTTTAAATTCTGACTAGTCAACATAGTTTTTATATCTTCTAGATGAGCTCTACACTTATTGTACTTTTCTCGGGTCTCTGTTAGTTTCTTAGTTATTAACACATTTTCGGTTTCTAAATTGAGCTATATTATATTTACATGAATCACATCCGTCAATAAATAATTAAATAAGTTATATGTTTAAAATAGAATATTACAATCAATTTTGAATGTTTTAGTTCCAAGTCTGCAGGTGTAGTTATGTCCTGAATATCAATCATCAATCTGTTTTTATAGTGATCACTTAAGGTAAGCTTGTGTTGCAACTCTGTAATTTTGTTTTGCAAATGTCCACATTCAGCATCCAAGATTTCAAACTGACGAATACATAAAAATGTTACTAAATACTAACAATTAATAAAATTTAAGTGATGTTGTTACTTTGAGTTTTATTTCACAGTTCTCATTTAGCAAATCATTATATTTTTTTTGCCATTCAGTTGCAGTTTTTTCCGCCATGTTCAACTGTGATTCCATGTTATCCTAAAATAGTTTTTTCAGCATTTTATGATATTTAACTTAGTTTCTGTTTTATCTTATAATGAATACAGCATAACTTATACTGATTAACTTTAGAAATTCCAGCCAACCAACGATTTATACTTTTCTAATAATTAAATTACTATCACGTCACATCATGCCTAAACTAAATAACTAGAACTTACATAACATTACTATGTTCTTAAATAAAAGTAACCTCATACTACTACGCATGAAGCAGGAAATGCGCGTGACTAATGCTTGTACTAGTAGCCAAGTATTGTGGTTCCATGAAAAGCGGTTAAATATTAAAGAAGACAACAACTGATTAACCTTGGGATGTGGTTCCAACTTAACCAGAAGAAAATCAATCACTGACTGAGGTTACTTAAATTTGAGACAATATATTTGAATATTATTAAAAATGAGTAATTTTTAGTTTTTAAATATATGCATTATGCATAATGCATATTATGTTAACATAAATAAACACGTAAATTGGTTATATCAAAATTTAAAACATTATACCAGCTGTAGATTTCTAAATCAATGATAATTTTTCAAATTTAGATTTTTAAGTATAGTTATTAGCCTATATCAAAATAGTAATATTGTATTACCTTAATATATACTATGATCAAACAATATCACAATAACAAAATCTCTCATACATATATAATAAATTTAAATATAGATGTTATATATTTAAAAATTGGTTTTGAGTTTTTTTAATTTAAAAAAAAAAACCAATTGATATATGCCTATTGTGGGTAAATTTGAGATTAAATTAACACTTAATTCATTTAAAAAATGAATAAATTTTAAGAACATTAGTTAGGAAATCACTAATTAGATTACAAACTATCAGAATCAAAACTAGTTAAGATTGGATAATTTTGATTAATACACTTTTAATGATTTCAAACTCTCCAGTGGTGCTGAGACAAGATAGATTAGTAAGTTTTTTTACTTATATATACTTAATAATTAAGGTAACAAAAAGAGTAAAATATAGCTATTATGATTTAGATTTCAAATTAACAATTTGCATAAAATAAGGTAAAAAATACATTTTAAATAAAGTTATGGTAAAATTATTTTAGCGTAATTTAAATATTTGGTTAATTCAAACTTTAAGTAAAACAATACTTACATTTTTTTCAGAAATCTCTTCAGTTTTTTTTTTTTTCTTAGTTACATAGTGTTTCATAATTTCAAAATCATTTACTATTTCTTGATATTTTTGTTTACTCTCCTTAAGTTCTTTATTTAAGTCTAAAAGCTATAAATTAAAATAATTTTCATAAACAAATATATTAAAGTAAGTAAAGTAAATTTCATTTTATTACCTTTAGTTCTAATAATCGTTTATCTTTATCACTTTTTGCTTGTTGATCTTTTATTACAATATCTGCATTATCCAGTTGATGTTTAAATGTCTCAATCATTTGATTTTTACTGTCTAGTTGTTCCTAAATATTATTGATGAAACATAATATACTTTGTTAGTAACCAAACCTTTTTAAATGTTGCTTTGAATAAATACCAATAAAAGTGAAATTTGGTTTTTTTGAGTTTCAAGCTCAGCAATTTTTTTATAGGCTTCGATTAAGTGTTGATCAGTTTCTTCTTTTATGTCTAAAATTCTAGTTAATTCTTTATCTAACATTTCATTTGTATCTAATACTTTTACTAAATCATTTTCCAGTTTCTAAAGAAGGTTATGTATAACAATTCATAAATATTGTATATTATGTGGAGGTAAACTTTTATTACAATTTACAGGTTATCAATAATATTACCTCTACTAAATTATCATTTGTTTGACATAGATCTTTGGCTTTGAATATTTCAATTTTGTTCTCTAATTCTTTGATATGATTTTCTAATTTAGCCAAATTTAATTCCAGTTTTGTATTTGTTTCCAACTCAACTTTTATTCTATGCCTACAAAAAAATAATAAAAATTGTGAAAAACTAATCGTGATTGTTTACAATTGAATGCATATCTTACATATAATCAGTAATTTTTAGTTCTTGACATCTTTTTATAATATTTAATTGCTCGATTTCAGCATCTTTATTTTCAATATTTATTTTATATCCATAAGTTTTTTTCCGCTCATTTTCAAGATCAATTTCAAGAGCTTTTATTCTATCTTTAGTCTTAATTTAATTCAAAATAAACATTATTATTATACTTATTTACTTAAATAATTGATGCTATACTATAACAGTTGATCAGGAGTACATGTTACAAGAAATAGTAAGTATAGAATTTAAAACATTGAATGTATATGAGAATATAAGATAAGCAAGCATAAACACATACAACAGAATTCATTTAATAATCTTAAAATAAAGTATTCAGGAGGCAAAAAAGCTAAAATATTTAATTAAGCTGGAAAAACTTAACCAAGTACGACTGATTATAAAAATTGTGGTTTTTTTAGTGATAAGTTTTAAGAAAAAATGAAATTTATGAGTAGTTCTAGAGTGTTAACTTCACCATTTAGGAGGTGAAAAATAAAAGAAGTATAAGAATGTTTAAGATATACTGAATAATGTAGTCATAAGGTGGGCAGAAGAATCTAAGAACAAAGGCATCATATGATAGGTAATAATATTACACCCACCCCTAATATGCAATTAAAATAAGTAATACTATTCTTACTTGGTTACTCAAATTAGGAGTAAAGTTTTCTGAACTAAAATCTGAAAATGTACATGTCACTTCCACTGAAATCAGATATTTATAAATATTAAGTAGTTTTACATAACTTAAGGTTATAATGACTATAAAAAAAATTATTAGCTTACATTCCTTGTTCTCTTGTATACCAGACATCAATTGATGTTGTTCTGAAGCTTGAATTGTTAATTCTTCAATAGTTTTCAATAATTCCATGTTAATTTGATGTTTTTTGTTCTGTTCTTCAGCTAATAAATTTTGATATCCAACTAACTCATCAGCATGCAACTCTTCATTCTTTTCTAATTCATTTTTTAAGCGATATTTATCCAATTTTAAATTTTCAATATCATCTATCAGCGCTAGATTTTTACTTTTCAATACATCATTCTCATTTTTCAATTTCTCCAACTTTTCATTAACTTCTACTTTGAACTTTTCATTATTTAATAGTTCATTTTTTAATGTCCAATTATCCTGTTGTATAGACTTAATTTCTTCTAAATCCTTTTGATTTTTTTTTAAGTTATCACATTCATTTAAAAGTTCACTATTAATGTTTTCTAAACAATCTATCCTCTCTGATTGTATTTTATTACAATCTTTAAATGCAGAGATTTTTTTTTCCAAAACATCTTTCATATAAACTAATGGTTGAATTTCAGCTCTCAACTTTACACCTAATGTTTCAAGTTCAGACAATGTTTCTTGCTTTTTATCAAGATGTGTTAATGCATCGTTTAACTTGTCTGTTAATAATGTTTCATTTTCTATTAAAGTATGATTATGATTTTCGAGAGCATTTTTTTCAAAAGTCAATGTTTTTATAGATTCTTTAAGTTCTTTAAGTTGTTGATCCATAAGTTCTGTATCCTTTTCCATTACTTTTATCAAAGCATTTTTTTCTTCCAACTCCAATTTTGTATTGGCTAGTGCCGATTTCAACTCCTCCTAATTAATTGATTTAATCATGCAATGTCAATAAAACAAATATTTAAATGTTTAGTTATTTAGAATGAAATGTAATTCTTACTGATATAGAACTGTGGATATTTGTATTGTCCTTAGTAATCTGAGAGGGAAGACTTAAATTTATAATTGATGGCTCACGCATAGAAATATCTTGATGATGATAAGACATTTGTAAAGAAGGTAAAGTATTAGATTCATTAGGAATTGCTCGGCGCATTTGTTCATTTTCACTTATGTGCATGTCCGTCCCAATGCTTTTAGAAACACTATGATTTTGTGTATTCCCGTCATTTTTAGTCTGTAAAAAAAATGTTAAGAAGTTCAAGAACTATTATACCAAGATAATTAAATATTAGAATTATTAAGATACTATTACACTGTACATACCAACTCTGTATTTTGTAAACTATTAAGCTGGTTAGATAATGCTTCTATTTCAGATATTTTACTGGCTAAATTAATCTTGATAAAAAAATAATAAAATGTTATTAACTTTTTGTTTACAAATTTAAATTACATAGAACTCATAATAATAAATACTTGTAAACTAATGTTTTCTTCAGCAAGATGTACAACTTTTGACTCGAGATTATTAAATGTATTAGGATCAATATTTTCTTTTTCGGCAAGTTTTGTTTCATAAGCAGATAACATATTCTTAAAATATTTTGTTGAATCTTTCAAAGTTCTTATCTAAATAATTGACCAAGTGAGCCAAAAAATTAACATTAATTGTTTACTATATGTACCTCATGATTTTGTTCTTCCATAATTTGAGAGCATTGCTTGTTTTCTATAGTAATTTTTTGAAGTTTTTCTTGTAACTGTGAGGTAGCCAAATGAACATTGTCATTTTTTAATACTCTAAGTTCATCAATTTTCATTTTAGCAGTAATTAATTGATCACTTTTTTCGGCTAATCTTGTTCTCAACATATCTACTTCAGATTCTAAACTCTAAAGTAAAGGTTAATATATTTTTTATTATATATAAATATTCATTAAAATTTGATTTTACTTTAACTTGTTTATTGAGCTTATTAACTATGTTTTGTTGATCTGATTCATGCTTAAAAATAGCATCTTCTGATTTAAAAAGCCTGTTTAAACGCTCTTGTAATCTAATGAATACATCATCTAAAGTTGCAACTATACGAGCAGGAGAACTATTTTTCTCAATACTTATTTTATTGGGTAGTTCACAACGTTCTCTAAAGAAAAAAAAAAAATTGACAAAAGAAATAAAAAACCTTAACATATCAAAAACTTACGCTACAGATATATCTTCAGACATTGGTGAACCGCATTCTTCAGTAACCCAAAAAGTATCAAGATCTTTGATTCGCTTAGAAATGGTTTTTTCAACATCTTTTAACTAAAAAAAGAGTAGTGATATTACAATTAAATTAAATGTTTAAATTCATTGATTTTCTCACCTGCAATCTTATTTTATTAATAACAATCTCAATATCAGCAAATTCATGACCATCATTTTGAATTTGTTCTTCTAATAAATTTTTCAATCGGTTTAACTATAAAATAAGTACATTTTTTATTAAAGAATTAAATATAAATATGATGTTTATATAAAATATACTGAAATTACTTCAGTAAGCATATCTTGTTGATTATTTTGTTCCTCTTCTAACATATTTGTTAGTTGATTAATTGAATTTTTTTGAGAAATTTCATTTTTTATCAAATTTTCTATTCTGGTCTCCTGGTTAAGAATAATATTCTTTAATGATAGTACCTCAAGTTTGGAAGTATTTAATAGTTCTTCAGTTCTTAAACATCTATTCTCTAACTTAATGTACCGCTCTTCAGCCTCAGTCACCACTTGTTCAGTCTAAAAAAATAATAATTTTAATAGTGAGAATTAACAACATATTTATGATAAAAATACATGTGATCTAAGATCTTCAGTATCCAGTGATTCCCTTTCTTTTTCTTTCAATTGGAATTTTAATGTCTCCAATTTACTATCAAATTCTTCTCTTTCAACTTCACGTTCAGCAATTTGATCTTTTATGAACTTTTGTGATGACTTAAGTCGCCTATCTGCTACATCTAACTATAAAAAAATTATCAACATTTATGAAGTAGGTATTAATGATTTGAAATAACTAACTTGTTGAGCAAGATCATCTTTATCATTTTTTATGTTTTCAATGATTTTGTTATATTCGGCAGAAAACTCGTCAAATATAATTTGTAAATTAGGCCAATCATTGTAATTTTTAATTAATTCTTGTGCTATAACATATTTTAATGATTTAATTAAAAATGTATTGTAATAATATTTTGTTTGTTAATAACTTTATAGCTTTATTTTATTGTTTCCTTTTGTTCTATTTCTGAACTATTGACATTAATTATATATTATGTTATAAATGTAAAATAAATGCAATCAATATATTTCTTTCGATATATAAAAGAGCTCAGTCCGTAAAATATAAATAAATAATAATTTAATTATTACCTTTTTTTTTCAATAATATTAAATTTTCATTGTCAATATCATTATACTGTTTTTTATCATTAACATCAGAACTTTCTTTTTCAAGTTGCTCCTTTAATGATACATTTTCTTGTTCAAGTGCAGAATTTTCCATAAATAATTTTTTATATTCTGATCTCTGTTTTTCAAGCTCCTAAGTAAAATAATTAATTCAAATATATTATTTTTCTACATTAAGGGGACGCTACACACATATTTGTTGTCTCCGTCTTACAAGTGCGTAACATAACAAATGTACGCTTAGTAGATCACGTTTAGCTCCGTTAGTTTCAAAATTAGAGTGAATGACCTATTATGAAACTTGTACAGATAATGCAGCGATGATTGCATATGTTGGTTTTTTACGATAGTTCAATTTTGTAAAAAGTTATGCATATATAAGAAAGCATAAATTAAAAATGCTCATAACTCATTTAAAAACTTAATTATTGTAAAAACCAACATATAAACACAGATAATGTTCTTAGCGTCGTTTCATAATAGGTCGATTCACTCTTATTTTTAAACTAACAGAGCTAAATGTGATCTGCTGAGCGTAAATTTGTTATGTCATGCACTTGTAAGACAGAGAAAACAAATGGTTGTAGCCTCCTCTTAATCTCTAATAAAAATATTTGATATAAGAAAATACTTACTTTTTTATAATTTTCAATTTTTTTATCAAAATATCTAATGTAACATATATCATCTGAATTTATACTTAGAAATTGTTGTTCATTATTTATTACATCTAATAAAATATGAAAACCAAATTAAAATAAATAAATTACTACTATTTATATAATGTGAATTATTATATATATTTATTATTTTTATTTTATAACACAAGAATTTGAATTTTAATAAAATATTAAGCGAATTAGGGGAAAAGCAGATTATTCAATAATGTATACATTAGCGATTTTCATGGGCAAAGTGCTATTGTAGGCTATATATAGCCCCGGATAGACAAGTTATCCAACCGACGAGTTTTAGGATTTTAACCAATCCTAAAAGGTCCATTATCAAATAAACATTTCAGAAATTGGCCTAGGTTTTATGCAGGTAAATAAATGTATTTAATAAACTGCCCAAACAATTCGACCTTTTTTCAATCCGGGCCTGAATATAATTAAATAGTATTGATTGTTTATGTGCTATTAATACTTAATAACATTGGTTATAGATTGGAATAGTAATAGGGTCTGTAGAGTATTTTATATTCATATTTTACTTATAGAGTTATGAGTGTTCAAATATATTTGGACATGTTATATATGTCGGCCCAAATTTGACTATATAGAATTGTCAAGTCAAAATAAGAAACTGTAGACTACAGTTTTTTATATAAGTTTTTATTTTTATTTATTTTAAAATCATTTTTTTWAAATTGTTTTTATTCATATTTTATCTAATTAGTTTATTATTTTAGCTACAATAATTAAAAATTGAAAAATTAACTTATTGACTATTATAAAATTAATTTTTCCAAATTTGAAAACATATTTTGGAATTTTGAGTTATAACTCAAAACTCAATACTCCTTCGCATGACGCGCTTTAATCAATTGCAACCAAACTATTTTTAATTTCGGTTATACAGGCTGCATAAGAAACGTTAATGTACAATAATGTTGTGTACAAAAGAAAACCGATCTATTGCTCAATCTGTATTAATAATTATTATTATAACAAAATAGTTTTATTTTATTTCTTTCTATATATTTTTTAATTTTTAAATGGGTTGGTGCCCTGGGCCCGTGTAACACACCCGGTTATTGCGGCACTGATGATGAACTATATTAATTTTGCAGATAAAATTATTATACAAAGGGCATATGATGATAATTTATAACATAATATTGACAAATACAGGAGAGTTTTCATTTAAAATACAGAAGTTTGTAAAGCCACAGGGTACTGCTAAGAGTTTCAAGAATTTTAAAATATCAAAATATCAGGTCTTGAAGGTCTTTAAGCATGTTTAAAGATTCTAAAAATCAGAATTTGAATAATCGCATCATTAAAGAAAAAAGGGAATTAGCATGCTTGGTGAATCATCCTATTTAAAATAAATTTTGAAATACAAACAGAAAATGTGAATAATAGTTTCATGAATTACATAATATATGTAAATTAAAAAAAAATTGGTAGATATTCCACAAAATCAATTATTTTTTTATTATTTATGTAGTAATGACCAATTTTTAACCTTACCAGGATATTAATTTTAAACGTTAACAAAAGCACTAGGGCCAGTTCTTACAATGTCCCGTTAAGTGTCCATAAACAGTTACCAACAGTTAGTGGAATTTTTACCGGCAGAATTCTGCAGGGTAAATGTCTGTTAACTAACCGGATATTGTAAGAACGGCCTTAGGTAATAACATATATGAGATAGACTGCATTACTCATAAAATATACTCAAATTACCAGATAATGCAGCAGCTTCATCATTTAGCTTCTTCAAACATGAATTTAATTCTAAATGATTGTGATCTTCACTAGTTCCTTCAGTAGTAAAATCAGCTAATACAGAATGTTCATCAATTAATGATACAATCTCCTCAATGTTTGGTATGAAATGTACTCTTCTTGGACTTCTCATTTCATTAACAGGTTTTTCACAATTATCAGTAGATTCAATGCCATACCTATCACCACCACCTTCTAAAACTCCACCACATTTCATCCCATTCATACGCTCTACAATTGAGTTGTTTAATTCTTCTTGTTTAGTTAGTAGAAAAGAGCATAAGTATTTGGATAATTGACGGAGGGTAGTTGCTACCGAACGCAAATCATCTCTAGAATTTAATTTTATATTGTTTATTTAATTCAAATATAAATATATGCAAAYATAATTATTTTAATTTATAACTTACCTCTCTTGCACGATGTCTTCAAGATCTTTGATTTGCATATCAATACTGTCCTGGGATAATACCTAAAAATAGACATATCATCAGATACTATTAATATTTAACCATGTTTACTTTCAAGCATACATAGTCTGAAGTTTCAATATCTGCATCATGTCCATTTAGATTGTTTTGAAACAACTTTGGATCAAAGGAATCTATAGACGAAAACCGATCAACATCATCAAAAGAAGAATTTATTATCGTCTGAAATAAAAAATGATTTTAATAATTTTTAATAAATTGATTAATGAAAGAAATATTACTTTTTTAAGTTTGTATATTTCATTTACTAAATATGAAACTATTTTCTTATGTTTTGCATGGGTTTTTGTTATATCATCTTCAATACGTTTTGTTAATGTATCCAAGTCACAATCTTTAAGGTCATTTAAACGTTTCTCAAATTGTTCTTTTAATTCACAAATCTCATGTTCATGATTATTCTTAATTTTTACCAACTCAGTTTCAAATAAAGATTTAAGAGTCAATTTGAGATTAGATATTTCAGATGCATTTTCAGCACACAAACGTTGTATCTCATTTCGATGTCGTTGTTCATTTTCATCTAGTTCAATTTGGTGCTTTTCACATACCCGTTCTAACTCTTTTTTATAAGCATCATGCACCAATTCTAATTCCATGACGTTGAATTTTATCTAAAAACAAAAATAATCCTTAACATTGGCTTCAAATATAAAATTAATTCTAAAGCAATTTGGTGCTTTTCACATACCCGTTCTAACTCTTTTTTATAAGCATCATGCACCAATTCTAATTCCATGACGTTGAATTTTATCTAAAAACAAAAATAATCCTTAACATTGGCTTCAAAAAAATTATATAAAAATATATGAATTGCAGATAAACAAAAATCACTATGGCAACAACAAATTGCTTTAGAATTAAYTTTATATTTGGAGCAAACTTAACTTTGATATTTAATGACTTATTATAATATGATTTATATAAGTTAAAATATTACCCAAACAAGTTGTGAATAATAGTTCTCACAAGCTAAAATTATTAATAAGCCATCAGTACAAAAATACAAAATATTTATGACTTATAATATTAAAAATTACATTTCAAAAAACTATAAACACAAAAAATATATAACATTTAAAACAATAATATGTCAAAAACGATGAAATATCGACAAATATTACTGTTAAAGACTTTGAACTCAAATGATTCAAGGAAGTAAGAAATAAAACGTCAAAAAAGTTGATAATTATTTTGTTAAGTTATTATTTAGTGTTTACTATTTAAAATTACACAACAAAATGTTTTATCTCTTATCGCCGTTTTTAATAACAAAAGTATAACTGTCAGAAATGGAAGAATATTTTTACATCATGGAAGACACCACTATAATTATCACAGATATATTATATAAAATATACGAATGGATCTTCGCAGGCAAAAATTTGTTGTGTCCGTATATAATATTGCCTACATTTTGCCCCTTTTTTGCTACTATCAAAATGTGATAACATCATTTTTATTATAAATTATAATACTATATTTTATTATAATTTAATTTAATGATTTTATATATTGCTAAATTCAGATTCAAATAGTTAAATAAAATTATTAATACACAACTCGTTGCGAATACTTCAAGCGAAAATATAATACAAATGTTATAATTAGGCTATATATTTTTTTTTTTTTTTTTAAATGCAAAATCATCTTATCCAATATTTCAAATACAAAATTAGATTATAAATACATTTTACTAACTATTTGGCCCATAACTGAACACTCATAGTATAAGCATTTCAATATTGTTCCTTTCACAGAATCTTGAACATCATTTAATACTCTTTGAATGGGAACCAGTATAGATGGTACTGTAGTATTTATATAAAATAATATAGCTACCTGCCAATTTTTCTCTATCAGCTAAAACATATTTCAAAACATTGCAATAAAATCAGTGAATCACTTACAAAACGAATCAAAATCTATGCAAACTGAAGATATGAATACAATTAGCATCAAAAAAAAAAATTAAAAAACCACGTTTCTTCACTAAAAATAATACAAACGATATTTTAAATGTCCATTCTCTGACGATCATTCTTATAGTGCTAAAACAAAATGAATTTCTTAATTGTTGAATGGTACCTTTTAAATGACGACTGTAAGTGAATATTGTGTTTTTTTTTCGAATTGTATATTATTCAATTTGAATTTAGAAATATATAAAACCATTAAATCTAATTATAATAAAACATAATATTATAATTTATAATGAAAATTATGTTATCACATTTTGATAGCTGCAAAAAAGGGGCGAAATGTAGGCAATATTTTATACGGACACAAACAATTTTTTCAAGCGAAGATCCCAAGGGCGCGCCAAAGGGGGTGGCTAACGGGCTTTAGCCCCCCCCCCCAAAATGGCTAGCACAAACATTTTGATAATTTTATTAGGTTTATATAATTTTCTGTTATTATACGACTTAGCAAAATGTAATGCTTAACATACTTGTACATGAGAAAAGCATAATTAAAAATAAAAAAACTTTAAGAATGGATTTGGTTATTAGTTTATTGAAAATTTGTTAGCATTAAAGATATGTGTTTTCAATTCATTAATTTAATTAATACTTAATTTATTATAGATAATTGGAATAAAAATCCCCTGCAGACTACAATTTTACACACAAGTCACCAACTCACAACCATATAAAAATGATTTTAATATTGAATTACATAATATTATAGGTATATTATATATTATACATATCATTCAAAAATTAATTTATACTATAAATTATTTTAAATAAATTATTAGTATATATTTAAATTAATACTTCGAATGATCGAGTCAAAACGATACAAAATTACAAAATAAATGTTGTTAATAATAATATATAATACATCTATAAAATAATGTACAAACATATTTTGATAGTACCTAATAATAAAGATAATAATAATCATAGTTAGTCATGGGCGGATAGGCCATATTTAGCCTACCGTAAAATTTTAAAAAGGGCCTCCCCACATAAAAAAAAAATTAATAATATATGATATTAAAGGGCCTCATTACCGAAATACGAAGGGGGGCTCACCGGGAAATGCCCGGTAGCCCGCGGTAGGCCCATCCGCCCTAACTAAGTTAGTTATTGAATTGAAGTTTAATATTAATATTTATAAATTTAATATTGAAMATTTTAAGTTAATATACCTATATTATCGTCAAAATATTATAGAAAACGTAATAATTTATTTCAGGATACTTAGTACGCAGTACTTTATGTATTATAAATATTAATTGTTTTATGAGTATAAATTATAATAAACCTATTCGTAAAAATTTTTATATACAGTGGCGTATTTTGCTTGATTTCTCGGGGGGTGTCAACATTTATTGAACCTCAAAAACAAAATTTTTAGTATTATTTACTAATGTAAAAAGATATTGAATTAATTTTTTAACAAATTAATATGTTAGGAATTGACACGAAGTCTTACATTTGATAAAAATGGTATACT